GATACACATTCACAGACATATACACAGATACCCATACCTCACACATATTCACAAACACACATTCACACACAGGTACACTCACTCACAGACACACACAGACACACACAGACACACAGACACACACACAGACACACACACACACACACACACACACACACTTCATGCTACCATGGGAAATCAAAGTTCAGGCCAAGGTCCCAGCTTAGAGGCTGACTCCCGAGCATTCCTCAGGCAGTGGAGAGAATATGTCAGTGCTTACAGCACAGAACAGCAAACATTCATTTACAGATATGACTTCCCTCAATAAAATTATGCTATTCAAGAATATCAAACAACAAATAAAAAACCAAAGTCACTCACTGTTTATTTTATCCAGCTGTATTTGTCAAGCAGGATTTGTTTCAATGAATTTGTTATGCTATTTTTCATTACATATATATTTATAGTTGTTTGTGATGTAGTGTTCCAGTTATTAACATGTAGTTATCTTTATTTTTCCTAACTTTGGCTGGGTATCTGCTTTGTCAGGTAGGAGTGGAGCTTTCCTGTCTGTTTGCTTAAAATGCCGTTCCCATCCTTTCCCTGTCAGTCCTCATATGCGCTGCCAGCTAACTGAGTTTCCCGCTGCAACAAACAAGTGGTCATTGTTTCCTGCTTTTCAATTCAGCCTGTCAGTTACATCTTTTACTCCAGAGTTGAGACCACTTATATTTATGTTAGTGTTAGAATGTTTGTACTGAATGAAATCCTATAATTTGGCAGGCTTCTCTTCACCTTCTGACTTCCTGTGTTGGCTTCAATTGGCTGTGTTATTTTCTTTCTCTCTCATCTTAGATGTTTGCTGGCTCCTTGGCACTTTGCTTTCTATTGCTTTGAGAAAACATCACGACCAAAAGCTACTTGGAGAGGAAAAGGTTTATTTGGCTTACACTTCCACATCATAACTTGGCCAGGAACTGAATCAGACCATGGAGGAACATGTCAGTTGATGCAGGCAATTCTTCACCTGTGGATTCTTCTTCCCAGATGACTCCAGCGTATGCCAAGCTGACAAAAGCTAACCAGCACACTTCCTGAGTTTTTGCTGTTGATTTCTTAGAACTACAAGAGTAATTTTCTCCTGCGCTCTTGTGATCCTAGCTTTCTGTCTTCTTCCTTTGTGTTTTTATTTTTCCATGAGTGTCTTCTTCACTTTGTGGACCCTTTGTGGTCCAGAATTGCTTTAGCTGTGTTCATCTTGAAGGTCTTTATACAGGATGGATTTGAATTTAGTCACATTGGCTGTTACTCTTTTCTTTGAGGGCTCAGAATACACAGTTGCATGCTCTTGGCTTCAGCATTTCTGTCAAGGAACATGCTGCTGTTCTGATCGGTTTTCCAATTAGGTACGTATTAGTGACATGACTCTTCTCTGTATTAGCTTCGGGCATTCTTTTCTTGTTCTACACTATCTAAATTTTACTGAGAGTGTGATATGTCAAGAATATTTTCTGGTCCTATGAATGTGATGGTCTAAATTACCTCTGTACCTAGACATTCTTATCTTTCAATAGATACGGGGTATTTTAGGATATTGCTTCAATGAGTAGGTTTTCTATATCTTTATTATCTATTTCGTCATTCTAGTCTATTAAAATATTCCTGTTTGGTTTGTTTGTTATGTTCTGGAGGTCATCATATTTTTTTTATTTTTCTCTGAATACAATAACTCATCAACCTTATATGTGAAGTCCTGGTATTTTTTATCTTTCAATTAATTTAGTCTGTTGTTGATTCTTTCTCCTGAATTTTAAAAATATATTTGTAGACTTTCCCAAAATTTCCACTTAAAAATTCTGTCTTTATTTATCATTCATATGTTATGTTGTTTTGCTTATTTCATTAAGTTGCCTATCTTTTTGAAGTTGCAATCTTGTTAAAGTTAACCTCCTGATTGATTTCTTTAGCATTCTACTGAGTTTGGTATGTTTAGACTCAGTTGCTGACACCTTATGATCTTTTGAGGAAGTGGTGTGACCTTGTTTCCTTGCATTCTTGTGTTTCCTTGTTGTGGTTGGTGCACCTGTGGGAGTGAGTGTGTTTTACACATTGATGTGAGGACGTGTACATTGAGCATCCATCTGCCCAGACCTTAATCCTCAGCACTGGTCAGGATGGAGAAAAGAGACCACAGTAACGACAGCACCAGAGCCATCTTCCCGAGTTATCGTGATGGGCATAATAGAAGTAATAGGAAAAGCTAATTCATAATAAAACATGATGTTAGCAACTAGTAAAGATACAAACAACAATCACATAATTGAATAAAGGATGTGTAGAAAGAAATGAGAGAAAAGAGAAGAGTAGAAGAGAGAAGAGAAAAAGATTAAAAGCAATACAGTTACCAAATTTAAAAAATATAAATAAAATAGGTAAACCACAGGTGACCATCCTGACAAAGGGAAGGTGAGGCAGGAAGATCACAAATATGTGGCAAGTCTGAGTCAAGGAGACCCTGCCTCACCATTAACAACAGCAGGATCATGTAAGTCACAAGACAGGATTTTTTAAATATTAAAAACTTTTTTACATCTTAAAAATGACATCCTATAGAAAAATTACACATCACGCTTCAGTATCTGGAAGACAGAGACTTGGAAGAGCCTCTCTTGATGCTCACAGAAATTTCCAGGTCTGGGGGCATCAAGGCTGTCTTTGGTGTGCGTCGTCCCTCTGCTGCGCGCTTCCAGGTTGGTGCTGCGCACAGGTGCCATAAGGAGCGGAATATCTCTCACAGTAAACACCCCCGCCGTTTCTGTATAGTCTTCTCCACGGCTAGCCCCAGAGGTCTTTGCGGGCTGTGGTCCAGGTAGGCACTTCTGTGTGTGGGTTTGTCTAAACAAAGCCGTGTCTCCTGGATGCTGTGGAGAAGTGGAGATGGCAAACAGACCATGGAGAAGTTCTGGGAGCTGAGCTGTTTGCCTAACTATTTTCAGATCCTATGCAGCAGCAAACCTCCATGCAATAGGGAAGAAGCTGTAGAAACTGAGTAATCCTTTCACCCTGGTTATCAGTTCTCAGCCCCTGTCTGCTGCACACAAATTGAATCATGAGAAAGTTTCAGAAACCAAAGAATCTGCCAGGCACCTGCTCAGAACTCTCAGGCTCAGCAGTCATCCAGAGGAGCCATGTCATTCCCGGTTACAGGAGGCAGGGCTGCCTGACCTCATGCCTCCACAGCCTGAGCTAGGAGTGTGTCTCAGTCACTCCCTCCTGCACTACTGTCCCTCATGGCTGCCTACCCACCAGGGCACCATGATATGTGCTAGATGATTTTGGATCTCACCACAGCTCAGACTCAGAGAACAGAAGCTCCTGGTTCTAGCACTGTGAGAGACGGGGTATGTAGAGCTCGGACAGTGCCCATCTGTGTTCCTTTGTATTACATAGGACAGGAGTTTTCAGTGTGTGCCTTGCCCTGAGTGACTCCATTTATATGGCAGTGGTTTGCTTCATTTTGAAAGCAAATACTGAGGCAACTTTGAACCTTATGTGTTCAAGTGTCCAGCAAGATAGTAAGATACAGATTGATAGATAAATAGCTTATTGAAACAAATAAATTATTCCTACTTATAAACATGTCAAGCCAGAAACACCTAGACCCATGGATGTTTGAAGAACTTGCCCAAGAAACCAGAGCAATGAGCAATGCAAAGCCCTCACTTGGACCATATTCAATGAGCCACCATCAGCCACCTGATGCGTACATCACTAGACACAAGGCAACAAACTCTCAGCTCTGACCCCAGGACTTCTGCTCACGTGATCAGTCCTAATGAAAGTGTTCCACTTGAGTTCTCATTTGTTCAGACTCCTTATGCCTGGAATCAGCTCTGTGCTTTGGAGCAATCTGCCCCTTGAACCATCTTTGTATCTTGAACTCACACTGTGCCTTGAACCAACTGCGTCTTTATTGGCCACCCTGTTCCACAATAGCTCTCTCTGCATGTTCATCTGCTATGTGATTCTTCCTTCTGTAAATCCACACATCTGTACATCTGTGCACGTACACATACACCACCCTCTTCACACAAAGAGGAGTTGTGAAAATGGCAGTTACATACCTGCCTCTAAACTTATATTGTGTCATATAATATGCTTTTGAGGTAAGACAAATCCGCCCTCTCATCTGTCTTTGTCTTTCTTTATGAATTATGAATAACATTTATACTGCACTCATTAGGGCTCATTTCTATCCTAGGAATTTGGTATCTAAGGGGAGTCTATGTCCTCAGTTATGTCTGATTCTCATTGAATTCTTAGGTAATCACAGCAATATGAACTGTTCATCAGGATGAAATCTGCCTATGAGTGCACAATTTAAAATAATCCTAAAGTGTTCCGTGTAATAATGTTGTTGTGTGGACCATCAACTTACTCTTGCCGTTCCTTCTACAGGAAGGAAGAACCTCTGGAGATGGCATCCAATAGTGACCCTGTTGCAATCCCAATGATAGAAAGCAATCCCAGTGACCTTCCTGGAATGGACACCAGTGACCAGAACACATTGACTGGAGAGGCTGTGTTGAGTTTTCATAACATCAGCTATCGGGAAACAGTTCAGAGTGGCTTTGCATTTCGTAAAAAAACATTCATGATAGAAAGACTATCAAATATGAAGTATGTAAATAAACTAAAGAGACTAGTATATTGCACATTTTTTAACAGAGACTTTCTTTACTATCAATCAGCTGTGTGTGCATGTCTGTGTACATATGTGTTAGTGGGTGTATATGTCTATATGTATATCTCTGTTTATGAGTATGTGTGTGTTCACATGTACAGATGTGTGTATACTATGACACACCCATAGCACAAGACTGTCAGAGGACAATCCTGAGCATTGGTCTTCACCTTCTACCGTACTGCAGACAGAGTCCCTTGTTGCTCACTGCAGAGTATTCCAGGCTAGCAGCCTGCAAGGGTCCTGGGATTCTCCTACCTCTGTCTCCCATCTCTCCATAGAGCATGAAGTTACAGGTGCCACCACTGCACCCAACTTCATGTGAATTCTGGAGACTTAACCGAGGTCCTCACCCTTGTATAGCAAGCGCTTCACCAATGAACCCTCCCCTGCCTTACCTTGTTATACAGACAGATAGATTCATGATAACAGTGAAATTCATGCAATGGAGACTGAAGAACAACACAATGGATGGATGGCACAAAAGCTGGTTCTTTGAAAACACAAACAAACTTGACAAGCCCTTAGATATATTACAGAAAAACAAAACAAAGCAATTGTGAGAAATGGTTTTAACTCAATAAATTAAGGATGGAAAGGTAATATAAAAAGCATACTGTTAACATCAAGAGATATGAGGGATTACTGTAAATTTAAATTCTATAAATTAGAAAATCTAAAAGAATTGTGTACACATCTATACACACATTCCCTCCCTAAACTGAACTGAGCATTTAGAACAGGCTGACTGGGTCAGTTAGCAGTGATGAGATGCAAGCAATGAGGAAGTCCCAACAACAGAAAGTCTGGGTCCTCAAATATTTGCTCAAAATTCATTAAGAGCTAAAAGCAACATTCCACACTTTGTTCAATGACATAGAGAAGCCATGCTTCCAACCAATTCTGAGGACAGAGCACACTTCTGAGATTTCCCCCGTGCAGTCGGCATAGACTCTTCCTCCTGACCCCAACCATCACAGCTGTTCTTGGGTACTGGTTGTTTCTTCTCCTCAGCCTACAACTTCCATCATTTTCTTACTGAGAGGGGGATGGACAGGGCAAGGGATTGACACATTGCCTGGCTAGGAAATAACAAATGGAAGCGTAGCTATGTTTTCTATAAGAATATAGGAATATGGCTTTTTCAGTCTGAATATTCACTACTCCGAATCAGTCAATTGGTATATTGAGACATAGTTTATGTTTGTGCTGTACATATACACCAGTCAATAATGTCCTCTACTTGAGGGATATTTCCTGATCCTAAACTGAGTGTATTATAATCTCTTTATCAGGAAAGGAAATCATCATTTCTGTGGGTGTGTATTTAGCTTTTATATTTTGATTAAGGTGGTGCTTTGTTTTGTTTTGTTTTGAGTGTTATTTGGCAGTGTCCTCCTGTCCTCTGAGTGCTTCTTTCTAGTCTTTGAATTTCTATTTAAAATGAATTGATTTTGGTTTGATTCTATTTTAATAATAACGGCATGGCTACTGATATCCCATGAATTCTTGTGATGAGGTTTACAAGACAGAAAGCAGGGCTGTATGAAGATACTGATCATTAAACATTAGAGAGAAGCTACACTTCCTAATAATTATATTAGCAAATACAGCCTTGATAGATAAAGGCTGTGTGTGCAGTGGAGTCCTCCTGAGAACAGACCACTTGTTCCAAGGACACTGAACTTAGATGCACTGTGTTTCAAAACAGACAAGTCCTTAAACAATAAATAACAGGGGTTTTGTGATATCTGAAGCATTTTTCTGATGAGTTTCCACTAGCTTTCAATATCTTTCATAAATAATAGACCTATATTAATATTTAAATTTTTCCAATGCATTTATGCTTATTTTCTGTGTACAATTTTACCTAATTTCAATAGAATATTCAGTGTAGATATGAAACTAATGTAACTTCTTTAAAACAGAAAAAAAATCAACCAGTGTGATTTTGTGTTTACAGTGGGATCATGAAACCTGGCCTCAATGCAATTATGGGACCTCAAGATGGGAGCAGATCTTTGTGAGTATAATGGAAAGCATACAAAGCCCTTTGTATCCAGTTTCTGGGCTGTAAAAATCACTCCTATAGGAGTTATCTAAGTACTGTGTGAGTGTATGTGTGAGTGTGTATGTGAGTCTGGTCCCATGTGTGGGGATAACATGTGGGAAGATGCATTCTAATTTTATACCAAGAGCAGGAAGTCTTACCAGGTCACTTTACTGATAGGAAATAATAGAGTGATTGGCATGTGGTGTTGGGTCATATTATTATTATTTAATGTGGTGAAAGTAAAATTAGAATTAGAAAGATGAAGAAATTTTCTGGAGACAAGAAATCATCACCAGGCCTAATTCTCAAAACACAGCAGCACATTACCTGTTTGAGTTCCCAGAGTCAGATAGCAGGGAGGGGCTGTTTTGTGGATCATGTCTCACATTCATAATTCTGGGCTGTATTAGAGCACATACCGAACAGAAAGGAGTGTGTGTGTGTGTGTGTGTGTGTGTGTGTGTGTATGAGAGAGAGAGAGAGAGAGAGAGAGAGAGAGAGAGACTTCACTTAAACTCATGCAGCATTTTTATTCTGAGTGTCTGAAAGCTGATAGTTGTTACTGAAGGGAGGAAGTAAACCACACAATATATGTAATCCTTGTAGGTTATTAGATGTCTTAGCTGCAAGGACAGATCCACATGGATTATCGGGAGATATTTTGATAAATGGAAAACCTCGACCTGCTAATTTCACATGTAATTCTGGTTATGTGCCACAAGTAAGTGCTGGTGGGTTTGCAATTTTAGATTTCCCCCCTGTATTGCTAGATGCTCAGCTTATAGATTTGTGTGTTTCCAGTTCATTAGATGACACATTTATAGGCCCAATTTTATCTACATCCGCTTTTCACAATGACTCATTAGGCTGAGGGTGGCATTATTAGATAGGAAGGTGGGGAGGGATTGGAATATGACATCTGCATCACAGTACTAGTAACTGAGCTGTGATTTAATTCTACAGAGAACTACTCTTGTGCATTTTGTCCTTCCTTCCTTTCTCTACTGCTTAGCTGTTTTCCTCAAATAATTGCAGAGAGCCATCACCAAAATGCCTGAGCTTTTCTTGGAAGGCAAATGGGAAGGGGGGTGAAAATTATTGCTTCAGGTTCTCTACTTGAAATTAATAAAACTGAAAACTTATTTTTCAGTGGAGTATTACATTGTGTATGTTTTATATAAAGATTCGGTTACATTTGTTAGAATGATTGTTTCACTGATAACTATATTTAATTGAAATACTATTTAACTTTAAGAATGATGTAACGATGTTCACGGTGACTGTGAGAGAAAATGTAGAGTTCTCAGCTGCTCTTCGACTGCCAATGACTATGACAAGGGATGAAAAAAGAGGGCGGATTAATGAGGTCCTTGAACTTCTGCATCTGGATGAAAAGGCAAATGTTAAGGTAATGTGAAGAAAAGTCTTGAAAGGCTCAGAGCCAAAAAAATAATTCCAAGTATTGATAATATGATACCGTCATTACTTTTCTATGTGTGTGGTCAATGCGGCTGCTCTCTGTGTTAATGAGTAAGTGACTGGTTACATGATGTAGAGTAGAAACTGAGATGGGAAACCTTTTTTACAGTGGCTAAACCTGGGAATAGAGTGTGATCCAGCAGGGAAAATTGTTCCTCGCATGGTCATTTTCAAGAGCTCCTCACATGAGCCTCCTCTTCCCTCAGCCTTAAACTCTTGACTCATTAGAGAATTTGATAAGTACTTTCTTCTGTTTATTGTCTCTTCCCCTAGAGGACGTGTCCCTTGTTGTTTCAGAATGTGCTTCTGCACTGACACAGGACGTGAGATGGAGAACTCTGGCTCTGTGTTCACTGTACATTAATTTCCCTCCAGGGCTGTCCTTGGTCTCTTTAGCTTTTATTTCTAACTTATGGAGTGCTTGTTATTTTCTGTAGTCTTTCTTTTTGTGTTTTTATCTAAACCTGTTTGTGGTGTCTAGTTTTAACTGTCAACTTGATACAGTCTAAAATCACCTGGAATCATCTAGAAGAGAGTCTCAGTGAGGAATTATAGTAAGGTTGACGGTCTTGTTTAAGTAAAGCAATGTGGAAAAACCCAGCCCACTTAGGCAGTGCCATTGGGTTTAGATCCTCGGTGTCGTGAGAATGGGAAAAGTGAGCTGAGCACTGACAGACATGCATGCATTCATCCTCTTCTGAGCCCTTGACTGGATGTAACCCGGCTGCATCAGCTTCCTGCCTTGACTTCCCGGCATTTGTCAACTCTACTTTTAAACTGTGTGTTGAAATAAAACCTTTCACTCCTTGTTTACTTTTTGTAAGTTCATTTTGTCTTAGTAACTAGATAGAAACAAAGGATATTCTTTTGCCCTCACTCCCTGCTTCCATATATTCTGTCAGTATTTATTACCAGGTACTTTGTCAGGATTTAATGATACAAACTTTGGCAAGAGCAACAAAGAGTGGACCTGGTGACTCCTATGAGGATTTGTGCAGGGTCAGTAGGGGCAGTAGATAAGTGGTAAACTGCTTCACCGCTAGTTATCCAACACCTAACTAGTTTCTTACCAACATAGTTTAAAAGACTATTATATAAGACTTCACTCCTGAGTACTTAATCATTTTTAATCTTTAAAAATTAAGGATATGTGCTAATTTAAAAATTCCATTCTTGACTATCAAAATAAATAACATCTTGGTATCTTTAGTCCTGTCAGGTCTATAACCATTTGTAAACCCAAATGTTTTTATAAGTACATTTATTAGAGAACCTGATCATGCATTTATTTTATTATTTGCCTAGAGTTTTTCATCATTAGGGTTGTTTTTCTTTTCTTGTGTCCTCCAAATAATCCTGCCTCTCACAATGACATCAATTCATTGAGAAGATTATATAGAGATGTCTGCTGAGCAGACATTTGGGGGTATGTATGAAAATGGTCTCCCCAGGACAGGAATCTCATGGATTAACTCCTGTGGTGTCTCCTTCTTAGACGCAGTGAGGAATAGGAAGGTACCAGCTGTTAATTCTCATGATACCTCTCTGCAGTCATTTATGAGAAGTTTGTTTGGTTGGCAAGAATAAGAGAAAAGCTGACATTTACTATGCTTTCTTTTTTCCCAAGTGATGTACTTTTGTGTGCTTTGCTCTGTTTATTACATGGTTTTATATTGACAATAAAGTTCTTTCTTTTGTTCTCTTTTTAACAATGATTAGCCATTGTCCTAAGTTCTTTACTTGTTTTTTAAGAACAACATATGAAGATATTTATTAACTTCTTAAAGTCATGAAATGTAATAGATTACAAGAACTTCAATATAATTTTTAAATGATAGCTTTCCAAAAAGTGTGTGTGTGTGTGTCTGTATGTGCATGTCTGTGTGTGTTCACCTGAATGACTTAACACACACACATGGAGGTCATAGGACACCTATGTCACGGGTCCGTTCTCTCCTCCCACATTGTTTGTCTTGTTCTGCTGATGCCCTGTACACAAGCCTGATGCCCTGATCCACGTCCCACCTCACTGTAGTTACATCTTGACAGAGTCACACAGGCATTCCACTGCTGCTGCTTTATATGCGAGTTCCAGGCTTCAGGTTTGTGGGACAAGTGCTTTTTGCTGCTGAGACTTAATTCTCTTCAACATTTCACTAGATTTTGATTTAAGAAATGTGGAGGTGTTGTGGGAGGTGGCACATTGTTTGCTTCCTGGATGCCCAGACTTCGGAAATAATCACACAGAAATGTGTATTAATTGCAATACTGTTTGGCCAATAGCTTAAGTATATTTCTGGCTAACTCTTATATCTTAAATTAACCCATTTCTTTTAATCTGTATATTGCCACATGGCTGTGGCTTACAGACAAGGTTCCGGTGGGCTCCAGCAAAGGCATCTGTCTCCTGTGGGTGGCTACATACCTTCTGACTCCGCCTACTCTCTCTATATATCTCTTCCAGCCTGCCTTTACTCTGTTAAGCCATTGGATGAAAGCTGCTACTTTATTAACCAATGGCAATAAAGCATATTCACAGTATACATCACTTCCCACACCACCTACCCTTTTCTGTCTAAATAAAAAAGAAGGTTTTAACTTTAACATAGTAAGTTTACATATAACAAAACAGGTATCAAGCAAGAGTTACAGTTTCAATATTTTTATCTACTTTACCTTTTATCATAACTAAGGAAAACTATAACTTAACCTCATTAAAGATACCAGAAGGATATAATATTACCTAAGTAAACAGGAAGTGCATTGTAAGCCACTTCCAAAACTCTAGAATTGACAGAGACATCTCGCTGCCTGGACAGTCACCCAAAGTTCTTCTGTAACATTGCAGGCATCCATATTCATCTTACTGGCCCATAGTATCCTGCAGACTTTTCCATGAAGCAGGAAATTTCAAAAACAGTTCCACCTGTACTGGCAGTTTGTCAGTCACAGTTTTCTGTAACCTGCAGAATGTCTGTAGACTCTTTCATGAGGCAGGAACCCTGAAGAACTGTCTCACCTTTAGGCAAGTTCAGCAGTCATTTTTCTGTGGGTCCTGCATATCCAGTTCACACAGCTTAACGTCAAGCAGTCCAGGCAAGAGCAGTTTCTTGCCCAAATGCCTAACAAACTCCATAAGGAGCCTCTTCAATGGCCATCATCCTCTTGAAGTAGATTGGTGCTGCTAGGAACAGATGTGTCTTATTGTCATGAAAAGTCCTAAGTTTATAAAACATTTTAAATGCTATATTCTATAGGACTCTGAAAGGTTTGAAGATTATCTAATTGAAACATATCTCTATGTGTCTAGAAAATTTAACTAATATGACTACAAGCTTGATTATACACATGATTAACTATTAACATATATTTGTTAATTTAATTATATCCATCTCTATAGCATATCCTCCTTTAAATGTAAACAAAACATTTATAAATAATCATTTAGGTATTTGGGAGTCGTTCTCTCCAAACTACTTCCTGCTGTTTATTGGGCGAAGCATTTCTAGGATTCACTGAAACCTCTCATGGGGTGTCATGTTCCATTAAACCACATTAACCTGGAAAGAATCCACAGGTACTTTTCCTCTGTGGAAACAAAGGCAGAACCTCTTTTCCAAAACAACTTATGCTTAGACCCAAATTTTGAAATCAAGATATCTTGAAAATATATTGGTTTAGCTTAGCATCCCATACAATGAAATGTTTCTCAGTACTTAGCTCATTCACAGTCAAAAAATTCAAGGAAAACACAAAAATACACATAATCCAGATTCTCTGTGTATATTTCATCTTTATGTGGCTTATTATTTTTTTTACTCTTTTATTTTTATTTTATTTTATGTTTTTAGTTGTAAACTGATTGGCCCATTAACTCAGGCTTCTTATTATCTCTTACAACTTTTATAACATTTATAAACTCTTATAACATTATTCTTGTCTATGTTAACCACGTGGCTTGGTACCTTATTCAGCAAGGCAGTCACATCTTGTTTCATCTGTGGCGGGGTCACAACTGCAGACCAAACTTTCCTCTTCCAAGAATTATCCTGTTTTCTTTTTACTTTTTTAATCCATACTCTGGCTCTTTAAAGACTTTATTTTTTAAATGATTTGCATCTTTTTATAACTGACCATATTCTTTTTCTTCTCTCTCCCAAGCTTACATACATCTATCAAACACTATGACCCATTTAGAGATCTTTTTATCTGAATTTGTCTTTATTGCGTCTCTGTCATCCTTTTCTAACCAGGACTGCTTTTTTCTTCTAAATGTTAAATGGACGAGGCTAGGACCAGCTTGGCGGTCCTGCCAGTCTGCTCTGCCCAGTCCAACATGGTGGAGGCATGTTCACTGCCTCTGAGAGCCACACTCACAGCCCCATTTTCAAGCACACAGTGTGTTTATGTTACCACTAATCAAGTTGTAGCACTCTGGTCACAAACCTCATTCAAATGCTTGGTCTCCTGAGTGAGTCAGAGTTTGTGCTGGCAGCACAGACCAAGAAGACACAATTTCGAAACTGCACATTTTTTTTTCTGCTCTTGTTGAATCAGGAAGACCTCTCTTAAAGGAGCTTTCAGATTACTATTGTTTAATAGACCAAGAGCCCCCACCTCCGAGAGGTCTCTATGAACACCTTCTAAAATTACTTCACCCAACAAAAAGCAGGAAGCAGTTTGGAGAGAACTACACCCAAATTCCCCAAATGATTATTTATAAATGTTTGTTTACATTTAAAGGGGGATATGCTACAGAGATGGATACTGTGCATTGGCATGGATCTTGGTTTATTGATACAAATTTAAGATCAATTTTGTTATATATTTATTTCTGCTCCTAATTAAGGAAGTGTGTATGTGTAGTTCAATTAAAAATGCAAAGTATAATTAAGACATACAGGTTAATACATAATCATGTATAATAGCCAAGCTTGTAGTTATGTTAGTTAGGTTTTCTAAATGTGCAGAGAAATATTTTAAATGGAGAAGTATTTTTCAAACATTTCAGAGACCTATAGAATATGGCATTTAAAATGTTTTATAAACTTAGGACTTTTCATAACAATGAGACACATCTGCTCCTGGCAGCACCAATCTATTTAAAGAGGATAAAGATCATCAAGGAGGCTTCTCATAGAGTTTGTTAGGCATTTGGGCATGAAACTGCTCTTGCCTGGACTGCTTGATATTATGCTGTGTGAACTGGATATGCAAGACCCACAGAAAAATGACTGCTGAACTTGCCTAACGGTGAGACAGTTCTTCAGGGTTCCTGCTTCATGAAAGAGTCTGCAGGACACTATGGGCCAGTAAGATGAATATGGGTACCCCAATGATACAGAAGAACTTTGGGTGACTGTCCAGGCAGCGAGATGTCTCTGTCAATTCTAGAGTTTTGGAAGTGGCTTACAATGCACTTCCTGTTTACTTAGGTAATATTATATCCTTCTGGTATCTTTAATGAGGTTAAGTTATAGTTTTCCTTAGTTATGATAAAAGGTAAAGTAGATAAAAATATTGAAACTGTAACTCTTGCTTGATACCTGTTTTGTTATATGTAAACTTACTATGTTAAAGTTAAAACCTTCTTTTTTATTTAGACAGAAAAGGGTAGGTGGTGTGGGAAGTGATGTATACTGTGAATATGCTTTATTGCCATTGGTTAATAAAGTAGCAGCTTTCATCCAATGGCTTAACAGAGTAAAGGCAGGCTGGAAGAGATATATAGAGAGAGTAGGCGGAGTCAGAAGGTATGTAGCCACCCGCAGGAGACAGATGCCTTTGCTGGAGCCCACCGGAACCTTGTCTGTAAGCCACAGCCATGTGGCAATATACAGATTAAAAGAAATGGGTTAATTTAAGATATAAGAGTTAGCCAGAAATATACTTAAGCTATTGACCAAACAGTATTGCAATTAAGTACAGATTTCTGTGTGATTATTGCTGTGTGATTATTGGTTCTTGGCTGCTGGGAGCGAACAAGCAGCTTCTGCCAACATAGAGGGAACATATGGCTGCTGTAGAAGATTGAGTGTTGTATTTCCAGCACAATGGTATACTTAATAATACCAGCTCTCTGGTTTCTTAGTGCTTACAACAGCATACTCACTAAAGCGGTTTCTCACTGCAGCATTTTAGCAGAACATTGAGTCGTTCCTTACTCCTAATTGCTTACTTTTCATCCATAAAAATAAGGACATCTGCTTATTTATAAACTCTATTCTTAACTATCAATTAATGATTCCTTTATATCCTCAGCCTGGTCCTGACCATACTTATCCAAATTCCCCAAACATCCTTTGTTGTATGTTGTCGGTAGGGCTTGATCATGGTTTTGGTTATCATGCTTATAGGGACTTGTTCCCTAGTTCTGTGTCCCCCTAAACCTTGCTATCTCCTCTGTCTTACACAATGACATTGACTGGTACTAAGACTGTTCTAGTTTAACCGATAGACTATATGACCTTTTGAATTTGCCTGCATGGATAAATCATGAATTCTGTGATGGTGTACATTGTAAATAATGTCAATTCACAAATACTTTAGGGAGTTAAAAAGATCCTAATAAGGCAATGTGGAATTTTTGATAAAAAGCAATGTGTGCACGCGTGTGTGCCTATGTGTTGTGTTAGTCAAATGTGTATATGTTGTGTGTGTATTGTTTATAGAGTGCCTATGTTGTGTGTGTGTGTGTGTGTGTTAGAAGAGTACTAAATGACAACTAAGTAACTAGAGATAATATATCTTCTCCAGTCCTGTCTTCCTCATTCCTGAGCTAGAGATTTCACTGTACCAGTCTTTGAGTGTGATAACTCACTACCTAGAATATGTGACTTGATAAAGAACAGTTTACTCACTTGGAAAAGAAAAACCTTCTTCTCCCAGGTGCCCATGTTTTTGCTTGTTAGAATGATGATATAACAAAATCTTTTATTGTGGAGACAGGCTTATTTGCCAAACAACAATGACTGTTGGTGTTCTTGTTGATAATGGTAGTCATTGTTGCTTTAGCCTAGATCTAAAGAGCTCAAGAAAAGGACCAGTATAGCCATGGAGCTGGTCACCGAGCATCCCATTTTGTTCTTGGATGATCCCACTACTGGCTTAGACTTGAAAACTGCTACTTATGTCTTCTTTGTCCTGAGAAGGTAAGTGCTGAAGGAACATTAAGTTTTCTTCTCTTAATAGCTGTTCACGTGTGTGTGTGTGTGTGTGTGTGTGTGTGTGTGTGTGTGTGTGTGTG